CCCATCTCTACTAAATACAAAAATTAGCTGGGCGTGGTGGTACACACCTCTAATCCCAGCTACTTGGTAGGCTGAAGCAGGAGAATTACTTGAACCCAGGAGGTGGAGGTTGCAGTGAGCTGAAGTTGTGCCACTGCACTCCAGGGTGAATGACAGAGTGTGATTCCATCTCCAAAAAAACAAGAAAGAAAAGAAAAAACGTTTTACTTTTTTTTCTGAGACGGAATCTGGCGCTATCTTCATGCTGAAGTGCAGTGGTGCGACCTCGTCTCACTGCAGCCTCCACCTCCTGGGTTCGAGCAATTTTCGTGCCTCAGCCTCTTGTGCCTCAGCCTCTGAGTAGCTGGTATTACAGGCATGCGCCACCACACCAGCTAATTTTTGTATTTTTAGTATAGACCAGGTTTCATCACATTAGCAAGGATGGTCTTGATCTCCTGACCTCGTGATCCGCCTGCCTCAGCCTCCCAAAGTGTTGCTTTTATAGGCATCAGCCACTGCGTCCGGCCTCTTTTACTTGTTTTTTATGTAGTCATTCTTATCCCATGGTTTATTTGTAGGCATATAACCAGTGAGTTCTTAAAAATATACAGTCAGATAACCACCATCACAGTCAAGATGTAGGACATGTCCAACACCCTGAAGATTTTCCTTGCCCCATTGTGATCAATCCCTTTCTCTCCATCCCCAGGTCCTGGCAACCGCTTACTTGTTTTTAGATCCTATAATGTTATAGTTTCTAGAATGTGGTATTAGTGACATTGATATTTAGTAGGTACCCTGCTGTGGCTGTGTCCTTTCTTTAGGATAATGTTTTTGGGATTCACCCATGTTGTTCATATATAAGCAATTTGCTCATTTTTATTGCTGAGTAATATTCTAGTGTAATATGTACTGTTTTTTCCATTCCCATTTGGTGACATATTTAGTTTTAGGCTATTATGAATAAAGCTGCCGTGATCATTCACATATAATCCTTGGCATAATTTTTAGTTCTCTTGGGTAAAATGTAGGAGTAGGATTGCTGGTTCTATGAAAAGTGTATGTTTAACATTATAAGAAATTTCCAAACTATTTTCTAAAGGGACTGTACAATTTTGCATTCCCTCTAGGAGTGTATGAGGGCTCCATTTGCTCCACATCCTTGCCAGTGCTTGGAATTATAAGTGTTTCTGATTTTAGCTATTTAGTAAGTGTGTGGAATATCTTCTTTTTCCTTTGATTTATATTTCCTTTTCTTCCATTAAATTACCCTGGCACTTTGTCAAAAATGAACTGAACATATATTTGGGGATCTATATCTGGAGTTTGTTCTATCTGTTGTCTGGTCTAATGCCAATGCCATATTGTTTTGATTACTATGGTTTTACTGCAAATTTTGACATTCGATAGTATGAATCTTCCAACTTTGTTCTTCTTTTTCAAAATTGTTTTAGCTATTCTGGTCCTTTGCATCTCTAAATAAACTTTTATCAGCTTGTCAGTTTCTAACCAGTGGCTATTGGGATTTTGATTGGTGGTGTTTTGAACTTATAGATCAGTTTGGGGAGAACTGACATCTTAATTATGTTGAGTCCTTTGGCCGAGCTCGGTGGCTCATGCCTGTAATCCCAGCACTTTGGGAAGCTGAGGCAGGTGGATCACCTAAGGTCAGGAGTTTGAGACCAGTCTGGCCAACATGGCTGAAACCCTATCTGTACTAAAAAA